GGCTGCGCGTGTGGCACGCCCTTCGCTTCGAGGCTGGCCGCAGCAACACACGCGCAAGCGTGCGCCAGCCTCAGCGCCAACTCGGCAACGGATTCGACAACAGCAGGAGCACCAAGCCCCACTGCTGCCGGACCCACCGCCACCGTCACAGCAGCAGTCACTGCCGCGCCCGACCTGCCCCCGCAAGTTGCCTCGGAGCTCACAGCGTCCCCCCCGCTGGTGAGCTCCACCAATGTTGATGCGCAGGAGCACAGGATGACAGTGCAGGACGAGCTGCTACTGCAGCAGCAACAACCGCAGCAGCCGCGCGAGAAGGACGCGCAGTGGCATCAGCACCAGCAACACGACGTGAAGCAGCAACAGGACGAGTCGAGCCGCTGGGGTCCGCCGCTCCCGCCCACGACGATCGCCTCAAGGATCGCCGATCGGCTCAGCGAGCTGCCAGCACCGCGCTGGGGCCCACTCCTCCCTCGCGATACGGTCGTGTCCCGCATCGTGGAGCGACTCGAAGACGTACCAGCTCCACGGTGGGGACCCCCACTGCCGCGCCGCATCGTGGCCTCACGGATTGCGGAGCGCCTCGCACCAGTAACGCCACCAGCCAACAGTGAAGTTACGGCCGCAGAGGAGGACAAGGTGGCGACGCCTGCTGACGTGACCCTTGCCTACGAGGACGAGGAGAGCAAGGAATGTGAATCGCCGAGCATGGTCACCGAAGAGACCAAGGACAGCGAAGAACCCGCGGCAACGGCAGACGAATGGCTCCTCAAGTTCGACGGTGGATGCCGTGGTGCTCCAGGACCCGGTGGAGCAGGTGCCGTGCTGTTCAACCCAAGCGGGGCGGCAGCATGGTCTTGCTCGTGCTACATGCCAGGCAACACGGAGACTAACAACACTGCTGAATACACAGCTCTCCTCCTCGGTGCTCGTGCCGCTGCGGACCATGGTGCCACGCGACTTCGCGTCCAGGGCGACAGCCAGCTAGTTATCCGACAAGTCAAGGGTATCTACGGCACGAAGAGTACCAGACTACGCAACCTACGCAACGCTACTCGTGCCGAGCTGACAAGGGTGGGGCAGTTCACGCTCCACCACATTGACCGCCAGGACAACGCCCATGCCGACCGCCTCGCGAACCGAGCGCTCGACATGAAGAGCACACTGGTGGAATGTGCCGACCACCCTGGACGGAACGCCTGTACCACCACACTGGCGACCGCTGCGGAGGCTGCTCCACCACCAACTCCTCCGCCGGTGGGCGCTGCTGACGTGCCAATGGAAGATGGTGCCGACGAAGAGCGCCAGGCCGACATCGACGATGGCGAAGTGTATGCGCCGATGCACTTCGGACC